AAACAACATTCTAAATGATTGTAGAAGCTTCAAGTGTGTTTTTGTGGCCTGGGATATGGTTTCCTTGTGAAAATGTGTCAGTGTCTACCCAACCAGTTTACAAGTGGATTTTGAGAACATAGCCTACTTACAGTTGTGGATGGCCAGTGTTATAATCATTTAGATTAATACAAAAAATTACTGTCTTCTCTATCAAACTTGTTTTCACATGACATGTTCATGATTATTTAACAGGCAAATTTTTAAAACAAAGATAACATTAAAGATCTATGGCATTTTCATTTTCTACATTGTATAAAAATCTCAATTCAAGTTTTTCATTCCTATTTTATCCCTGTTGCCTTATTATGCACATGATTAAAGGGATATGGAATTTGGAAATCCAAATCTAAATACCCTTATTATTACACACGTATTACATATACTCTTATTACACATATCAGTAAGGAGATATGGAATTGGGAAATCCATATCCAAATACTTTTAGGATTTCGCCCTGAACACATTTATTTTTAGGATAACTTGAAAGATAGCTAAAAGGAAATCTATTTCCTTTTAGTTGTCTTACCTTTTGACTATAGTCTTCTAACTCATGTTCATTTTGGGGTGCTTATTTATAATACTAAAAGTGTAAATCTATATAAATGTTATCCAAGGTTTCTACATTCATGGATTTTATGGTTTAGCAATTGATAAGTATGAGATATATTACTACTAAAGAATCACCTAAATACAAAAATAATTTTTTTAAAAAATTGAAAGCACAGATGAGTGAAGTCAAGAATTTCGGTTGTATACTTTTAATTGTATTTGTTAATGAAAAAGAATGAATGCATTCATGAATGAATAAATGAGAGCTTTGTCTAAAGGAATAGTGAAATGGCTAGATGAGGAATCCTTTCCATCAACTAGAACTTCTTAATGACATGCTCTTCTGGGCATAAAAGAATCAGGAGCATCTCCTGGCTCCCTTCCACTCTCTCCTGGTGTGTGTGCTGCTCCCAAGAATGCCCTGGCTGCCATTTTCACCTGGGGAGTCGCCAAGGGAAAGACCAGCTGCTCAGGTTTAGATTTTTGCAGCCAGGACTCCCATATCCAGTACTGGCTTCTCTTCCCTATGCTCTGTACACTCAGGGAACAGGATGGCAAGTAGCGATACCCTGCTCCCATCTTCCGTCAGACACCACCCTTGGCTCGTGCCCTGTTTTGGTGCCATCTGCTTGGGGACACAGAGGATAATACCAAGAGCTCCTACTTATTGAGTGCCTGCTGTGAGCTAAGTATTTACATATCTAATTTCAAATTCTCACACGATCCTGTAAGGACAGTATTAGATCCATTTTTATAAGTCTGGAAAGTAAAGCTCAGAAAAGTTAAGAAAACCTCTCCAAGATTATCTGATGCAAGATTTATTGCATTTGGGCCTTTCCTCCCTTTGCCATCCGTGGAAGACATTTCTCATTCCTTGGAAAAATATGTTAACATCTTCCATCTTTGATTGGCTCTGCACTTTTCATAACAGTTCTCCCTGGAGAGCTGCTCTCCTCCTCTCATCCCAGGCTGGTGTCCTGAATTTCCCACAGTGATTTGGCCCTTACATTGAATTTTCTGGCTTCGTGTCTGTTAGACTCAAATGATATCTTAAAATATCTGATTAGTACTTAATAGTGTTGGCAGGTTAGAATCATATTTTAAAAAGGAAAGTATATGTAAACACAACTTTTTGAATTCACTTTTTGAGAGAACATATTTTTCCCATGTTATACAGACAAACTGGACAATGAAATGACCACCTGTTAGCTGCTAATGATGTTCGCATGCCTTTTAAAAAAAAGTAATTCTGGCTTTATCTGCCTACAATCTTGGCGACAAAACTCGTGGGAACATCAAGGGCATAGGAAGCCAAAGGCAGCAAACTGACAATAAAGTTTGTGCTTAGACTATTAATAAGGAAGCGGATACTGTGAATCTCTGATTCCACATAATTATTTAATCTCCAGAGGGTGACATAAAGCTGAATGCATGTTTTAAGAAACCTAAGTTTGTGTGTTCAAATCTAGGACTAAGATCAGAGGATTTCACACAGGGTATTTCTTACTTGAAAACAATATTTAAAAAAGCATCAACTATAAAATATGCCAATCACTATTTCAAATGCATAGTCTAATTTGAAATTGTATGGGTGGGTCAATCATTATGCCTTTCAAATGAAAATGAATATATACATATTGAATGAACTTAATTCAAAGTCATAAAGACGGATATTAACTGTGTCGTATGTTGCAAAAATGTACTGGCCCTACGAAAGGCTTACAATTAGACATATTCTCCAAGACAGAGAAATGAAGGATTTTCTAAAATTACGGCTAGCATTAAAGATTAAATGTCTCTTTCATTTTAATAGTGAATTCAAAGTTCAACAAAAACACCTGGTTTTAATGTTTTGGCCAATAAGTTTTTGGGTTCTAAGTTTACTGATTTCTATGAATCTTAGTTTTAATGTAGTATTTCCAACCAAGTCAAAGGTTGACATAAACTAAGTTTACCTTTTATTTGTTCACTTTGCTATAGCGTAATGATTAAAAGCACAGGCTCTAAAATCAGATTGTCTGAGTTTGAAACATGTCTCCATAACTTGTCTTTGTACAAGTGACCTTAATTCTCTATGCCTTCATTTTGTCATCTGTAAAATAATAGTACCTACCTCATAGGGTTGGTGGATTAAATGAGTTGATATAAAGTAAGCACGTAGAACAATGCCTGGTATACAGTAAGTGCTCAATATTTTCTAGTTATCATTTTATTAACTTCAAAGTAAAAGGTGAATATGAAGTCACTGTATAATTAGGTGCATTTTGAAACAAACTAAATAAATCGTGTGTCTCTTCTTTTGTCTTTAAGCAGGATTGGATTTAAGCTCAAAGTAGACAAATAATTGTCTTTCCCAATTAAAAACAAATTCTGAAAAGAAGTATGGAATATCTTATATGTAAGATTTTTTTTCTCAGTAGAATCTTAAAACACTTTTTTTGAGACAGAGTCTCCCTCTATTGCCTGGGATAGAGTGCAGTGCATCATCACTACAACCTCAAACTCCTGGGCTCAAATGATCCTTCTGGCTTAGCCTCCCAAGTAGCTGGGACTAGAGCTGCGTGCCACCACACCTGGCTAATATTTTTAATTTTTTGTAGAGATTGGCAGGGGAGGGGGCGGTGGCATGCTATGTTGCTAAGGCTGGTCTTCATCAACTCCTGGCCTCAAGAAATCCTCTGGCTTAAGCCTCCCAGAGTGCTAGGGTTATAGGCATGAACCACCATGCCTGGCCACATCTTAAAACTTTTAAAGTTACTACTGCTCAATACAGAATTCATTAGCCTCAGTGTTTCTCAAACATATATTTTGCAAACCTTATTTTCTTCCTAGCTTCAGGGTTGAGAGGCATGTCAAGATCTCCTCCAAACTGGCAATTATATCTGAGATTCCAGATCTACTAATCATTGTATCACATATGCTTTAACATCTATTATAAAATGTGTATATAATTAATACCAAATATATACTCACAATTGAATTCTATTTCTGAAATCTTACCTACGTCTGAACCCATATGAAGTAAAAGAGGACAATGACCAGAAATTTAAGGAAAACGTTCTTTCAGTGAAATAACTCCAAACTATACCAAAAGTCTCTCTAAATGGCACTGTTATCTCTTCACAAACACATCGTGCATTTTCTAGACATAATCTTAATCTCCAATTTAGCACAACTGGTTAACTAAGTATGTATCTAGCAGTTGTTGGAAATTATAGCATGGGTCATTGAATAATGACTTAATTTTGAAAGGGTGCTTCTACTCTAAGTTCTCATGTAATTTCTAGATTTGTGACTACCAATAATTCAACTTTGGAATTATCAAATATAAATAGCTTCTACATTCCCTGTCATGGGTGTGTGTGTGTGTGTTTGTGTACATGTATGTGCATACATATTCACATATATCTTTCCTAATATACATACATATGTGTATATGCATAAATAAACATGAGGCATATGCGCCTGTATACAGGTACATATATATATATAGTCCATTAGCAGCTCTTCTCAACTCACTGAGTTCTCCTTAAATTCAAAAAGCTGGATATAACTATACTGATCTTTGATCAGAGAGGGATGGAAGAAAAAAATGGTGATTCAGAAGATTGGGGGTAGCTAGGTAGAAGATCTAAGAAAGACACTGTAATTTTTAAGACTTCAAGAAATTGGCTTTTTCTGATTCCAAATATATCTATTTGTTCTTTCAGGAGGTTGAGACTCAAACTAACTCTGAGATATATGTGACATGTTTTAATAACTCCCTTTTATTGAGGAAGAAGCAGGCTGGGGAAAGGTTAAGAAAGATACTCAAGATCACTATGTAAGTGATGAGACCAGTTCTTTTTATCCCAAATATTTTTAGGACATTAGAACCCCAAATATTCTTTTAGAATATTAGAAGTAGATGTGACCTTGGAGAATATCTAATTCACATCCCGCATTTTCAATCAGCCTCTGGAAAGTGCCTTTTCAAATCTTTCTGGTGGTCCGAAAGTGTGTAAAGTTACGTAGCCTCTTGGCTTAAGTTGGGCCAACTGTGGTGGTCACTCATATTTTTTAATGTATGGAAGTCAAACAGCCAGCATATCCAGGTTTGGAAATGCTTGACATTTCCCACTCTCAAAATCAATCACCAATCTGACCACCATGGCAATTACTCAGAGACTCAGAGGTTTGCTGTAAGCAAAGACCATGAACTTGGAACAATTATTTTCTCAAAAGGCATTACCAACAATGATGTGAGCAAAGTGCCCAGACTGCCCTCCAGTGCATGAATCCCTGCCCAGGAAATGGCTACGAATCTTCCACGAGTAACATGACTTTGGCTTAAGTTTCATTTCAATGCATTTATATTTCATAAGCACTGCATTTAGACTTAAAATGAGCAAGTCAAAGAAAATACTCACTTAAAGATTTTCTGTGCTCTGGTTTCTGTTCTTTTATATCACTATCATAGTGACTTAGCAATTCAGTACTGGAGGATCTTTGGATTTTGAATAATTCCAGGTTTCTTGATGGACAATATGAATCCTTTGGCTGAAATAAAACAAACAATTAGACTGGATAATTTTACTAGGAAGAAAAGACTAACTAAATAGTTTGTGGTCTATTTTGATGTTATTAAATAGATTTAAGGAGAAGCTTGAAATAAGATAATTATTTTGGGATAGGGCCTCTATACTAAGCCTAATACTCGAATTTAATAATGGTTTATATATGCATATGGTGCTTACTAAATGCCATACATTATTCCAAGCACTCTTCATGCACTAAATCAGTTAAGTATTACAATAATTCTATGAAGTAGGTAGTATTATTATTATCCTTATTTTCTAGATGAAAGTGAGGCCAAAAGAGAAAAGTAGGCCACAAAGGTAGTAAATGATAGAACCAGAATTCAAATGCAGGCATTCTGCTCCCAGAGTCCACCCACTCTTAAAGACAAAAAGCCCCTATACGGGGACTATACTGATGATGGGGAAAAATGTGTTATTTTATTTTCTGAAGTTTTAGTCTCAAAATGATATAATAAAAGACTGCAATCAAGTATCAATAAAATCACACCGAAAATGTTATATGTTCCTATTATGTACCATATTAACAACTCTCTAAATTTTCTTCAAAATTTTGCAAATATTAGTGTCCTAAAATTAGATGTTTGATCTAGAGTCAGTATGAAATGACCAGTTTTAAGTAATTTGACTCTGAAAAAACATATTCTGAATGTGTGATTTAGGAATTTTGTGAAGTCATAGATAGGTAATTTTCAGGAGAAGGACAATCTAGCTTAGCTGGAAGAAGAATAAAAATCAGTACAAAGGGTTATTATTTGCTAGTATTATAACAGTGAGTTTGGTGGTAAATACATTCATATTTATTTTCAAGACTATGGTCTTAAATACATTGATATTTATTTTCCAGAATGTATTTTCAAACTGCATAAACTGAAAATGTAAAAATTCAGTAGTTATTAAACACTTGTGCACTTTTTACAGCCTCCAGTAAATGAATGTCCATGTTATTTCAGAAAAAAAAAAAAGAAAGAATGTACTACATTTTTGAAAGAGAGAAATTAATTGACATTTAGTTTCATAAATCCTGTCTGCTGAAAAGGTTTTTAGTGGATTCTATTTAAACTTAAAGGAACTTAATATCTCTCAGTCCATAAGATCTATTTAAATGCATGTGTGTCATATGCCTGAACAATAAGATTTAAATGACTACATTTTAATTAATAAAGGTAACAGCCAAAACAAATACATACCAATCTGTCAATTGCATTTTTGATAGCGTGGAACCAATCCAATATGATGAAGTCAATATCTGACTGGAGAAGGAACTCATTTCCTGATACTGTTGTGATCTGTAAAAAAATCGACAGGTAAAGAAACCATGTGAGATAGCTCTCTTACATTTTAAAAAATATCTTTTTTTAAAAAATCACAGTTTAATACACTGAAATATCTTGTTGTATTCCAGTAATTGTCTTTCTGGGAACTGGAAGCATTTTGAACTGCTCTCTATAAACTGTTTTTTCATGTCATAACAAATACATTATTGTTTTAATAATAGAACGATTAACTCAGAGTAGGGCTAAAGCTGAATTACTCCAACTGGAGGAGAAATAAGCCAGGAAGTTCAGAGCAATGCAGACAGCACACACTTAAGTCAGACCCTGCAGAAAAATGCACCCGGGTGTGTCAGGATTCATTCTGCACTTTTGGCTCTTTCCTGTTTGTCTTTTTCAAATTTAATAGTATCTCTATATTTGATTTCCTTTTATGGAGGGCTCTAAAACAAATTATTTACCAAAAAGACAAATGCAGACTCCTAAAAGTTCATTCACATGATTAACATTTGGCTATTTCTATTTTCCTGTCATAAAGATTTATACGATATTAATAAAGGACCAATTTCCCCACAAAGGGAGTATATTAAAATAAAAGTTCATTTACATATTTGAATTTCTCCTGGAGAGTATTTATCAAATGAGCATCCAGGTTTCTGACTCTCTGCGCTGCTAAGTAGTTGGCAATGCTTAGCATGTAACTATACATTTTTCATTACAGTGACTCTTTTTCTCCCCAGACTTGTGAGAGAAGGATGTGACCCTATCGAAACAGAGCGGTGCTCTTGGTTTCACACATAAAGGGCTACTTAGAGAAGAATTTGATAAGAGTTGGGTGTGGACACGTTTTCTTGTATTAGGCCATCAATCTGAGCTGTGAAGATTTTTCCCTTGGTATTATTGACTTTTTGTTGCAACAGGAAGATGAACATTTCTTGACTACTGTCACACATCAAGTAAGGCTTCAGAGGTTTAGAGAACTGACATTTCAAAATACTCAATCAGGAGCCAGTCACCTCTTCTCAGCCTTACTTGCTCTAAACAGGAGGTGAACACTGAAATGTGGCACAGGTTCAGAAAACCACAAATCATGCTTTAGGCCGTCTCTGTAATTCTATCATTAAAGTGACAATTATTACCCTAAATGGCTCATTCTGAAGGTTTCAAGGATTCTTATGGCAACATATAATGACAACAATCTTCGAGTTTTTAAGAAATCTTCTATTACACATGTGCATTTATTTTCAGAAAAACTCCACAGACATTCAACATTACTTAGTACTGCAAAGCAACCATTCTTGAGTGATATGAGTTCCAATATCAAATGTAGGCTCTACTGTAAGGAGAGGAACTGTCCAAAGTATATGCAGTTATAAGAAGTGAAAGATTGGAAAATAATAGGATTTAATTACCCACACCAGAATTTGACAGATTACTGGAACCAATCATTCTCCCCTCTCTCCTTCTCTCTCTCTCTCTTTTATAAAACTGCATATAAGATTTGAGAGGGCTCAAAATAGTCTGCTGTTTTATGTATTCAGTAAAAGACAACTAAGGTGATGTTTGCTTAATTATCTGAACACCAATGCAATGTTCTTTACTCGCATAAAGTTCCAAATATTTACACTATAGAATACTGCCTCAGAAATAGCATCTAAATATAAGGTCATTTCTAACTAACACAAGAAAACTAGCAATGTCCTTGACCTCTACCTTCATCCTAATCTAAATTTAAATATTTTGATTATGAATGTATTATATAAATCACAATTTGTAAACATACACAAAAATGAATTAGCCCAAGTACAATGTACAATCGAATACAATATTCCTCTGCCAGTATAAATAAACCATTATTAAAATTATAAAAAGGAACAACATTTTAAAAGTACAAGAAACAAACATAATTAGATTTACTATATTATGAGGGTTTATGAAAGAGCCAACAAAGTTCAGTTTTCAGTCTAATAAATTCAAACAGCGATAAAATATAAGTACTTTAGCAGTCCATTTGCATTTTGGTATATGTTATGCAATGCAGAGGGGATCTTTTACTGCTAACACAACCAAAAGCAAAATATATTTTAAAAGTTCTTTTGTCCAAATATATTACTGCATTAATCATACATAATCAGTAATTTACGAATTCATTTTGGGAAGCTAGATCAGAGAAGTATATGAATGCGATTCATTCAAAACATACTATCAGGGAGATACAGTTCACATTCCCTTCCTCTGTCTTCCCACTAATCTTTCGAGTGACTAGGCAGTCTGGAGAAGTCTGCTACTGCTCTCTACAGTTTAAACGCATCCACTTCTTAATTACAGTCAGTAATTGACTTTGTTCTGTTCCATTCCAGTCACTCAGAGCAAAGTAGTTTCAAAATCTTTGACTGGTAAAGCCCATTTAATTCAGGTTTCTCAATCCGCTTTTTTACATTACCTCTTTAGGATTTCTGATAAGTGGTTTGCTGAATCATATTTGCACTTTGAACAATCGAATTTTCAACACTCTTGGGGAAAAAAGACGTCAGTGAAGAATGTTAGCTTTGACTAAATCTTTTGATTGAACAACTCATGATGACAATCTAAAGTGATGTAGAACTAATAACAGACGTAAAGGATTTGCTATTGAGCCATGCTAATATACTCTTTCTACATCATGTTTTGCCTCCGTGACAGATGCTGGGGTGAAGGGATGAAAGAAGAACGTACAGAAAACATGACAGGTTTAGATAAGAGCTGCTGGTCTCCACTTTACTTGGAAACCCACTTTAGGCAAATGACTCTTAAAATTCCTCATGATCACCAGGTTGTATTTGAAAGGGATATATCAGGGCACCAAAGCAGCCTTAATGAAGTATGTTAATGTTGTCAATAATGAATATCTTTTAGTACCCCTCTGGGGAGATTTGCCTCAAACTTTTCCACACTAAATAAAGGCCTATCTAAATTCTTGCTGGTAACAAATTCATGCCCAGGAAACTATAGCAGTATGTCCACTGAGCAACATGCAGAGTAGGCACATTCCTTAAGGCTTTTTGATATTAATTCAACAATAGTTTTCCCTTGGACTTGGAACAGTCTGTGTCCTTGTCGTTTCTCTGAAGATGGAGGCAGGTATGTATGTGCAAGCTCCAAACTTCAGTGATAAGAGATGAAGAGGGAAGAAATTTGTTTTTTAGGTTTTAATTAAATGGAGTATTGTTATGCTAATTTAAAACACTTAAAAGAGTTTCAAGGAGTAGTATTTATGTTTATGTAAGTATTGTCCATTAAATAATTACTCTTTCATGCTGGAAACTCAGACATGTGGGGGGAGGGGGGAAAGGGCATTTATTGAAACCTTAAAATTTGTATCCCCATAATATGCCAAAATAAAAAAAAAAAAATTACTCTTGTCAATATTCATATTGGCAGTTATATTTTATAATGTTACATTTTAACTTAAATGAGATATGTAGAATGGCATTTATAATATTAAAGTTTCCATACTTTTTTTTTTACTAGAATAGAAACAAACCTTTTTGGAACTTCATTTTTTTTCTGACTATAAGAATAATATGAATGTATTGTGGAGAATTTGAGAAAACTAAAGGTAAATAATCAAATTAAAGCTATTCATAGATATATAGAATAAATGTTATAGACATTTTAATTTAGTTATTGAGTTTTTACAAATAATAACCAAACAAATATGATAATGATCAATGGATAACTTTATGCTATAGATACCTTGTCAGCAAAACATATTTGATAGTTAAACATTGTCAGCTTCTTCTGTTCCAGTTGATTTCAAATGCACATGGGGATATTATCAAAGATGCATGAGATGATGAATGACACATTCCCCTCTCTTTGATAGTACCACCCTTCCAACTGCAGGATAAATCCCACAATAATTCCATGTTGGGAAGACTAAAGTTCATGACAGAACATACTCCTAATCATTAACAATGACTGATTAAGTATCCATTAAGAACAAGGCACATGGCTGGAAGCTAGGGATACACAGCTCCCACCCCCAAGAACACACAATCTGTTTGGATAAATAGGACATATGCATATAAAGATAAATAACAATAGAAAATGACTTAAACTAAGTCCCAATGTGAGTGGCACAGACAATGCTCATGTTAAGATTCCAGAGGAGGGAGTAATTACTGCAGGCACATTTACATCATGGAATTATGCATAAACTGGTGGTCATGATATGTTATTCTTTAAAGGTTGATTGTATCGGAACTTTAGTATATTAAGGATATGAATACTACCACTTGGTATGCAAAGTGATATCAGCTTTAATGATCTCAAAGCACATAATAAACATTCTCCAAATGCAGCTTCCCTCCACTATCATAAAGTAATTTTGCAAATGAAGAAAATGAAGCAAATGAGGAAAATGAGAATGCCATTCTATCAAATTGGCATCATTTTAAATGATAGAATTAGGAGATTACAAAGATCTTGATTTCTAGTTCACTAGTTCTCAGCAAACAGTCGTGTACAGTCAAGGACTGTGTGTGTGAACAGGAAAGGGCCATGATGATTTGGTTTCAGTTGTGAAATCCGGAATAGTGACTTTAGACAAAGTTGCCAGTTTCCTTACAGTTAGGCTAAAGATAGCCCAATTTCAAAAGATCATGCTAAATCTTTATTTATTTTTTTTCTTTTCAAAAACAATCACTCTCTTGCTATGAAAAAAAAAATGCATCTAAGACAGAATTGGGGCATCCAAAAGCTCCTTCAAATCCTAGAAAGGACTAAAACAACCCTACATTTGAAAAAGTATCTTTCACATTTTACTTATAATCAGTCTTTGAGTAAGAACCTAAGGAGGGGTTATACCATCTTAATGAAGCTGAAATTGTATATAGGAAATGCATAATGAAATATGCCAAATATCCAAAGAGCCCTAAAACATGTTAAATGATATGGCTATAGTGGTTCTAGAAATAAGTGGATAAGAGGAATGGATTTAATTACTATGATATTTACAGATACTCTGGATTTCA